ACACAGACACACACACAGACACACACACAGACACACACACACAGACACACACACATAGATACACACACATAGACACACACACACATAGACACACACACAGACACAGACACACACACAGACACACACACAGACACACACACATGGATACACACACATAGACACAGACACACACACAGACACACACACACAGACACACACACACAGACACACACACAGACACACACACATGGATACACACACATAGATACACACACAGACACACACACACAGACACACACACACAGACACACACACACATAGACACACACACATGGATACACACACATAGATACACACACAGACACACACACACAGACACACACACACAGACACACACACACACATAGACACACACACATGGATACACACACATAGACACACACACAGACACACACACACAGAAACACAGACACACACACATAGACACACACACAGACACACACACACACAGACACACACACACAGACACACACACAGACACAGACACACACACATAGACACACACAGACACACACACACAGACACACACACACACAGACACACACACGTTATGTATGCATTACTACCTGCCACAGGTGTGTCTATACGGTTACCAGATCGGTACTTAATCACCACAGAGTGCATCACGCACAGATACTACGATGATTATTATTATAATGATGATGATGATCGTGTTGTTGTAACCAGCGCTTTATCAGGAGGCCTGACCTGGCCATCACAAACGATAGCAGCATCAGGCACGTGGCCGATACCGTGTAGCCCACTGTCAGACTTGAGTCTGTTTCTATAGGTGTGTGTGTGTCTATGTGTGTGTGTCTGTGTGTGTGTGTCTGTGTGTGTGTGTCTATGTGTCTGTGTGTGTGTCTATGTGTGTGTGTCTATGTGTGTGTGTCTGTGTGTGTGTCTATGTGTGTGTGTCTATGTGTGTGTGTGTCTATGTGTATATCTAAGCGTCTACAGATACAGGCTTGAGTCTGTATCTGTAGGTACAGGTTGAGTCTGTATCTGTAGGCTTGAGTCTGTATCTGTGTGTGTGTCTATGTGTGTGTCTGTGTGTGTGTCTATGTGTGTGTGTCTATGTGTGTGTGTGTCTATGTGTGTGTGTGTGTCTATGTGTGTGTGTGTCTGTGTGTGTGTCTATGTGTGTGTGTCTATGTGTATATCTAAGCGTCTACAGATACAGGCTTGAGTCTGTATCTGTAGGTACAGGTTGAGTCTGTATCTGTAGGCTTGAGTCTGTATCTGTGTGTGTGTGTCTATGTGTGTGTCTGTGTGTATGTCTGTGTGTGTGTCTATATGTGTGTATCTATGCGTGTGTGTCTGTGTGTGTGTGTCTATGTGTGTGTGTCTATGTGTGTGTGTCTAGCTGTGTGTGTCTATGTGTATATCTAAGCGTCTACAGATACAGACTTGAGTCTGCATCTGTAGGTACAGACTCAAGTCTGTATCTGTAGATACAGGTTGAGTCTGTTTCTATAGGTACAGACTTAAGTCTGTATCTGTAGGCTTGAGTCTGTATCTGTAGGTACAGACTTGAGTCTGTTTCTATAGGTACAGACTTGAGTCTGTATCTGTAGGCTTGAGTCTGTATCTGTAGGCTTGAGTCTGTATCTGTAGGTACAGACTTGAGTCTGTTTCTATAGGTACAGACTTGAGTCTGTATCTGTAGGCTTGAGTCTGTATCTGTAGGCTTGAGTCTGTATCTGTAGGCTTGAGTCTGTATCTGTAGGTACAGGTTGAGTCTGTATCTGTAGGTACAGCTTGAGTCTGTATCTGTAGGTACAGACTTGGGTCTGTATCTGTAGGTACAGGTTGAGTCTGTATCTGTAGGCTTGAGTCTGTATCTGTAGGTACAGGTTGAGTCTGTGTCTGTAGGTACAGGTTGAGTCTGTATCTGTAGGTACAGGTTGAGTCTGTTTCTATAGGTACAGGTTGAGTCTGTGTCTGTAGGTACAGGTTGAGTCTGTATCTGTAGGTACAGGCTGAGTCTGTATCTGTAGGTACAGGTTGAGTCTGTATCTGTAGGCTTGAGTCTGTATCTGTAGGTACAGGTTGAGTCTGTATCTGTAGGTACAGGCTAAGTCTGTATCTGTAGGTACAGGTTGAGTCTGTTTCTATAGGTACAGGTTGAGTCTGTATCTGTAGGTACAGGTTGAGTCTGTATCTGTAGATACAGGTTGAGTCTGTATCTGTAGGTACAGGTTGAGTCTGTATCTGTAGGTACAGGTTGAGTCTGTATCTGTAGGTACAGGCTTGAGTCTGTATCTGTAGGTACAGGTTGAGTCTGTGTCTGTAGGAACAGGATGAGTCTGTTTCTATAGGTACAGGTTGAGTCTGTATCTGTAGGTACAGGCTTGAGTCTGTATCTGTAGGTACAGGTTGAGTCTGTGTCTGTAGGAACAGGATGAGTCTGTATCTGTAGGTACAGGTTGAGTCTGTATCTGTAGGTACAGTCTTGAGTCTGTATCTGTAGGTACAGGCTTGAGTCTGTATCTGTAGGCTTGGTGTCTGTACCTACAGATACAGACTTGAGTCTGTACTTACAGATACAGACTCAAGTCTGTATCTACAGATACAGGTTGAGTCTGTATCTGTAGGTACAGGTTGAGTCTGTATCTGTAGGTACAGGTTGAGTCTGTACCTACAGATACAGACTTGAGTCTGTATCTGTAGGTACAGGTTGAGTCTGTATCTGTAGGTGCAGGTTGAGTCTGTACCTACAGATACAGACTTGAGTCTGTATCTGTAGGTACAGGATGAGTCTGTATCTGTAGGTACAGGTTGAGTCTGTATCTGTAGGTACAGGATGAGTCTGTTTCTATAGGTTCAGGTTGAGTCTGTATCTGTAGGTACAGACTTGAGTCTGTATCTGTAGGTACAGGTTGAGTCTGTATCTGTAGGTACAGGTTGAGTCTGTATCTGTAGGTACAGGCTTGAGTCTGTATCTGTAGGTACAGGTTGAGTCTGTATCTGTAGGTACAGACTTGAGTCTGTATCTGTAGGTACAGGCTTGAGTCTGTATCTGTAGGTACAGGTTGAGTCTGTATCTGTAGGCTTGAGTCTGTATCTGTAGGCTTGAGTCTGTATCTGTAGGCACAGGTTGAGTCTGTGTCTGTAGGTACAGGCTGAGTCTGTATCTGTAGGTACAGGTTGAGTCTGTGTCTGTAGGTACAGGATGAGTCTGTATCTGTAGGTACAGGATGAGTCTGTATCTGTAGGTACAGGATGAGTCTGTATCTGTAGGTACAGGTTGAGTCTGTATCTGTAGGCTTGAGTCTGTATCTGTAGGTACAGGTTGAGTCTGTATCTGTAGGTACAGACTTGAGTCTGTATCTGTAGGTACAGGTTGAGTCTGTATCTGTAGGCTTGAGTCTGTATCTGTAGGTACAGGTTGAGTCTGTATCTGTAGGTACAGACTTGAGTCTGTATCTGTAGGTACAGGTTGAGTCTGTATCTGTAGGTACAGGTTGAGTCTGTATCTGTAGGTACAGGTTGAGTCTGTATCTGTAGGTACAGGATGAGTCTGTATCTGTAGGTACAGACTTGAGTCTGTATCTGTAGGTACAGACTTGACAGATACAGGCGTCAATCGATTAGGACAGTGGGCTACGTACGGTGCGAAAGAAGTTCTACATACAGTCTGCCCATACAGGCATCATTGTGAATACAGCACTCCAGCTAGACACGTCAGACGATGGCTTTTGTGATGACGGTGGTGATGGTGGTGGTGATGGTGGTGGTTATTGTGATGGTGGTGGTGGTTATTGTGATGGTGGTGATGGTGGTGGTGATGGTTATTGTGATGGTGGTGGTGATGGTGGTGGTGATGGTTATTGTGATGGTGGTGGTGGTGATGGTGGTGGTTATTGTGATGGTGGCTATTGTGATGGTGGTAGTGATGGTGGTGATGGTTATTGTGATGGTGGTGGTGATGGTGGTGGTGGTTATTGTGATGGTGGTGATGGTGGTGGTTATTGTGATAGTGGTGGTGGTTATTGTGATGGTGGTGGTGATGGTGGTGGTGATGGTTATTGTGATGGTGGTGGTGGTGGTGATGGTGGTGGTTATTGTGATGGTGGTGGTGGCTATTGTGATGGTGGTAGTGATGGTGGTGATGGTTATTGTGATGGTGGTGGTGATGGTGGTGGTGGTTATTGTGATGGTGGTGATGGTTATTGTGATGGTGGTGGTGATGGTTATTGTGACGGTAGTGGTGATGGTGGTGATGATGGTTATTGTGATGGTAGTGACGATGGTGGTGGTTATTCTGATATTGGTGGAGATGGTGGTGATGCTTATTGTGATGGTGGTTATTGTGATGGTGGTGGTTATTGTGATGGTGGTGATGATGGTTATTGTGATGGTTATTGTGATGGTGGTGGTGATCGTGGTGGTGGTTATTGTGATGGTGGTGGTTATTGTGATGGTGGTGGTGATGGTTATTGTGATGGTAGTGGTGATGGTGGTGATGATGGTGGTGGTTATTCTGATATTGGTGGAGATGGTGGTGATGGTTATTGTGATGGTGGTGGTGATGGTGGTGATGGTTATTGTGATGGCGGTTGAGATGATGATGTTGGTGGTGGTGGTGATGATGGTGGTGGTGATGGTGGTGGTGATGGTTCTTGTGATGGTGTTTGAGATGATGATGTTGGTAGTGATGGTGATGCTGCTGCTGCTGATGATGCTGATGATGCTGCTGCTGATGATGCTGCTGCTACTAATCCTGATAATGCTGCTGTTGATGCTGCTGTTGCTGCTGCTGCTGATGATGCTGCTGATGATGCTGCTGATGCTGCTGCTCATGATGATAATGCTGCTGCTGATGATGATTATGATGCTGCTGCTGATGATGCTGCTGCTGGTGATGCTGCTGCTGCTGATCTTCATGATAATGGTGCTGCTGCTGATGATGATGATGCTGCTGCTGATGATGCTGCTGCTGATGACGCTGCTGGTACCTGGTCTGGAGAGCTCTCTCTTGGCGGAGTCCGGGGACAAGTGATCCCGCTCGCATACACACGGAGAGTGGGGGGGGGAGTGGGGGGGAGTGGGGGGAGAGTGGGGGGGGGGGAGAGTGGAGGGAGAGTGGGGGGAGTGGGGGTGGAGAGTGGGGGGGAGAGTGGGGGGGGGGGGTGGGGGGGAGTGGGGGGGAGAGTGGGGGGAGAGTGGGGGGAGAGAGAGGGTGGGGAGAGGGTGGGGAGAGTGGGGAGAGAGTGGAGAGAGAGGTTGGGGAGAGTGGGGGGAGAGTGGAGAGAGAGGGTGGGGAGAGTGGGGGGAGAGAGAGAGTGGGGGGAGAGTGGGTGGGGAGAGTGGGTGGGGAGAGTGGGTGGAGAGAGTGGGTGGGGA